GACTATTTATTTATAGGTCTACGGGACTAGACCTTTAAGAGGAGAAGCTAATATTATAACTTAATATATATAACTAACTTAAAGATTAGCTTACTAGTTACGGCGGCTAAGCGTATTATATATATAAATAAAATAGGGATATAACTACTCCTTACAAAATAAAAGAACTATAAATAAATTATATAATAATAAAATAAGATAAAGATTATTTTAAATTAAAATAATTTAATACGACTTAGGGGCTAAACGATTATTATAGATTAGATTAATTAAAAATAACTTAAAAAATAAAGGATATATTTAAAAACGAGACTTATATATAGGATAGACTCGAGCCGGGTTTAAAGATAGACTTCCTATAGTTTTTTTAATAATTAACTTAATATTAAATTTTACAATTGCTTTTAGCTATTTTTATTAAAAACCCCTTTTAATAAAACTATAATTAATTACCGAAGCCTTATTTATTTTACGATTTATAGATATAGCTTTAAAAAAGCTATTTATAACTACGATACTATTTACTTAGCCTTCGTAGCCTTAACTTTTATTAATATATTTATTACGACTAGCTAGCCGTAATATTAATTACCCGGGGTATTTATAATTAAAAAACGGACCAGTAGCGGATTCGTTTTAAAAGCGAGGTAGGGGGGTACGTATTATAGGCTAAACTTAATTAATAAATCCGAGCTTTAGTTTAAATATTATTATAGCTTATTACGCCGTTTTTATAGAGGTCCTATTTAAGCGCTTTTTTTTATAGAACCTCTATAGAACCTCCGCTTTAAAAACCTCTACTCTTTAGCTTAGATTCTATATACTAAAATCCCCCTAACGTAGACTTACGTGGGCTGGACTCTTAACACTACCATTTATAAATAATCAAGGTCTACTATAGACGCCTTTGAGCTTCGAGGCCCAGCTCCGTAGGAGGATGTGGAACTTAGTTGCCGTCCAGCCCGAGATTCCGTGCGATTCGTATTGCGCAGCTCCAGAGATGACGGTATAGAACAGAATCTCCGAAATTGTGGAAGCACATGCCAAGTACTGCAATCGCCTGAACAGGGCGAATTGTGCTACTTCTCATATAGTCTGCTTCTTCGAGACAGAACAAGGCAGTCTTATACCACCGTTGTAGCATACTTTCAAGGTCTCCTGAATGCCGACGGACACAGTCAGACGTGGGCGCATGAAGTTGAGAAAAGGTGGGCATGGCTTCACCTGCAGGAAGTATCTCGCGAGCCTCCTTATTATCCATCATCAATAGAGCAGCCTACTAGAGGCAGTCGGATCAGTGCTGTGGCCTCGAAAGGATGGATTCATGTAGAGACTGACCGTGATGACACTGAAATACACTGATAGCCAACCAGGATCACAATCAGACAAGACAGTGCCCTTTTCTAAATTATCCATAAACTGAGTGTGTTCCCCATCGAACTCGGGATATTCGAGGGCATAGTGGACCCAGGAATTCCACTTCTTGTCATAAGCGATTAGCAGCTCGCTAGACTTTCGGCAGGGTACGTCAACCGTACTCCATCCTCGGTGATGTCGAGACACCTGTGAAAATGATGGAGACTTGAATACCATCTCCTCTAGCGGGTCATGGCACTCCAACAACTTTTGCGCAGTCCTCGGCCTTCGAAGCGATAAATCAGAAGTGGGGCGAACGTGAGAGGCTTCAAGAGCTGTTCTTAGTCGCTGATTCTCCTGAACCAGCTCATCGTATGTTGGTAACTTGACTAGATCTTTCCCTCTATGATTCAAATGCCAGTCAGCTTATTAGAGGAAACATGCTCAAGATTGAGAATCGACCTTGTAACTTCACCCCGCACCATCACAAGTTCTCGTGAGCATGATTCAGGCGTGCCCTGGCGAATGCAAGTTGAGCATGGTAATCTTTTATCGCACTTGACCTTGCGAGCAGCGCAGGATCGACAACTTCGTGGGGCGCGCTGGGTCTTGCGATATGAAGATGGAGTATCAGATGGCATATCTGAATCTCTTGATAGAGATCCCTTTGCGCTTGGATGAGTCGAGCAGCGGTTTTGGCCTGGGTCACGTTAGTGGCTATAGAGATGTTCTCTCCAGCCACGGGCCTGAAATGGAACTTGAATAACAGTAAATCAAGGGTAACGTCGATCCTGTCTAGTTTCTAGGCTCGTCATGTACGTCAAGAAATGAGACATACCTTAAGTGCGAGATGAGATATTGACCGGGCGTAAACTCACCCGAACTCAGCCGAGAGTATTGCTTATCAGCGATGTGATAAGATAGACCCGTCCTTATCTCGAGTGGAACAACGGTACGTACCTTGAGTGCACCAAATCCCCTCACATTGCTGGCCCTCGAATTCCATCAGATTTGATACCATCACCACATTCTTCTCTATTGAGTATTGTCCGAAATAGGCTCTTGAGCCGACAGACTCTGCAGACTCTCTCAAGGGCCTCTCATAGCAGATCTCAGATGCATAAACGAAGTACATTTTCAGCATGGCATCAGCATTTCATGGAGGAGTCATCCACTCGCTTGGCCCGAACCAAGTTGAGATACTTGACAGCGCCGGAATCGTGGTTGGATCTGATGGACTGATTTCTCAATTCTACACTCAAATATCCGTCGATGAGCTGTCTGCAAAGCTCCCCATCGATCAAAAAGTCAAGGTTCTTGCCAAGGGCCAGTTCATATCTCCCGGTTTCATCGACACGCACAACCACGCTCCGCAATGGGCAATGAGAGGCCAGGGGCAGGGACTCCATATCCTAGACTGGCTTGATCAAGTCACATTTCCCCACGAAGCTCGCTTTTCCGACCCTGCATACGCCCGCAAGATCTACGAGAGCTGCGTAAAGGGCTTCCTCAAGCAAGGCATTACGGCGGCTTCCTACTACGGGTCAAAACACGCCGAAGCGACACAGATTTTGGCCGACATCTGCCATCAGCTGAATCAGAGGGCTTTCATAGGAAAGTGTAACATGGATCGTAACGCTCCAAGCTATCTCCATGATGAATCTGCCGAGTCGTCTCTGAAGGAAACGGAGGAATGCGTCAAACACATTCGCAAGATCGACCCCACCGGACAGCTGATTCGCCCTGTCTTGACTCCAAGATTCGCTATATGTTGCACCCCCGACTTGCTCAAAGGCCTGGGTCAGATGGCATCCCAAGACCCAGAGCTAGCGATCCAAACACATTTCAATGAAGCCGAGCAGGAGATCAAGGCGACAAGAGAGCTGTTCCCACAGTTTTCCAGCGAGGTAGACCTCTACCAACACTATGGTCTCCTGAACCAGCGTTCAATTCTTGCACATTGCACCTTCATGACAGACTACGAGATGGACAGGATCAAAGAGCTTCAGTGCGGTGTTGCACACTGCCCCATATCGAACATGACAGTTGGAGGAGGCTTCATGGCGGCCTCCGTACGTCAGTTTCTGACCAAGGGGATCAAGGTTGGCCTCGGAACTGACAGCGGTGGCGGATTTTCATCAAGCATGCTCGACAGCATACGTCAGGCAATCATAGCTTCCAACGCACGCGAAGTTATGTCAGGCGGCAAAGACAAGGCAATATCTCTAGACGAGGTTTTCTACCTTTCAACTCTCGGGGGAGCTCAGGTGTGTTGTCTCGAAGACATGATTGGAAACTTCGCTATCGGCAAAGCGTTTGATGCGATACTAGTCACAAGCTCCCTTGACGAAGCATCTGGGGTCATGACCGTCCGAGAAGAGACAGACAGCCTTCGGACAGTGTTTGAGAAGTTTTTGATGACTGGAGATGATCGTAATATCGCTCAAGTGTACGTGCAGGGCAGGCTTGTGAAGGACACATTGTAAACCTAAGTTGGTGTTGTTGTTGTTGTTGTTGTTGTATTTAACGCCGTGGCGGCCGGGCTAGAGCCCTTACCGCAGACCTCCCGAAGGGTATATGGCGTGGAGGGCCGTGAGCCAAGGCTACCTACTCTACAGTACGTCGTCTCTTTACATCGTCCTCCAAATCATGCCTTGTGGCCACTACGCGTTCTGTCTGTCCCCGGTTCCCGCTGGTGCCCCAGTTTCATTCTTTCCCAAATCGTCCCTTGGAATCGGGAGGTTCTTTGTAGTCCGCACTCACATCTACCTAGGTGTGGATGCTGCTACCGCAGACAGATCTTCTGGAAGAAGTCCGTCACGCGGAGAAAGGCCTCG